GAGGAGTGGCAGCCCAAGAGGGCATCTGTTGGGTCATTTGAGAGGCTCGTGAGGCAGGAGCTGCGTGGGTGGTAGCTCTTGCCGCACGAGCATCGACCCAGCAGTGGATTGATCATGGCTGCTGGTCATCATGATGATGAGTGAGCCGTTTAGCATGCCGTGGGCCAGGGCACATCTTGACGATTTGCATTTTCATCTTTTTTTTTTCTCCTAAGAGAGGGGCCCCAACCGAGTGAGAAGCAAAATAGCGGCGAAATAGATTCCTCCTGTTCGCAGATTCCTCCTGTTCATAGATTCCTCCTGTTAGCAGATTCCTCGTGTCCGCAGATTCCTTGTGTCTGTAGATTCCTCGTGTCTGTAGATTCCTCATGTTCGTAGATTCCTCGTGTCCGCAGATTCCTCGTGTCCGCAGATTCCTCGTGTCCGTAGATTCCTTGTGTCCATAGATTCCTCATGTTCGTAGATTCCTCGTGTCTGTAGATTCCTCGTGTTCATCTGCCCTGCTTCACGGGCGCTCAGCAGCGTGAGGCTGTGGCGGGGAGCTGTGTGGAGTTGCGGTCTGTCCAGAGAGCGTCAGACCGGTTGAGACACCGCTCGCCAGCGATGCCGGGAAACAAGCAACGTTGGGCCAGTTATGCACCTGTACCAGGTTTGTAGGAAGAATTCCATTATTTGTCAGTTATAATTACGTTTTAATATTCGTATTATGACTATGTACGTAAGTGAAAGCGCAACTTAAGGGAGTCCTCCTGAGTATCTCAATACTTACCAAGGTCTTCCAATTGCTGGTAACCCAGTCATCATCGGTATTCAGTTCACGGTAGGTCCAGAAACATGTCCCGTCGCTGGTGGCGAGCCCTGTTGAATCGATCATTCGCTCTCCGAGTCAACAAGGAAGGAGAAACTCACGCGTGGCTTTCTGTGACGCTTCCGTCGCGCGTCGGGGTCCTCGCAAACGATTGAATTGGCGATGAGAACTTTCTGCACCGGGCCGCACGAGGTGATGGCACGTGCAGGGGCCGTCATCGCCTTGACAAAGCCACAATTTTTAGCACTGTTTTTAGCACGTCAACCTTGGGGCAACCCTTCCATCAATTTCGGGGTGCCACGTTAGTGAGATATTCACTACCCCGCAGGGTATACCGGAGGTCATGGGTTTTGATCCCGACTCCTGCTGTATATTCGGAGTTTGCGTGTCTCTCTCCGCGTGGTCGCGTGGATTTTTCTCTGCGTCCTCCGGTTTTTCCCTCCACACTTAGAATCAACAACACACGTTTAGAGTATTTGGCTACGAGAAATGTCCACGTGATGATGAGCCACTTCGTTGAGCTGTCATTTGTGACCAGGTCGCTTCTGAAAAAGAGCCACATAGCTCAGTGGGCTGTACCAAGTAAAAAAAAAATACAAGTTTTTTAATCGTTTAATTTGGCCGGTTTTCATTCGGGCGAGTCGCTCAGAGCAACGCAGCCCTCTACTCAAATTTCGTATCCATGTCCGCCCCTGTCAACTCCAACGTCCCACTCCGTCATCGTTTGGGTAAGCGACGTCAAGCGCCTTGAGTGAAGTCGCGTTATAAATATAGATGAGACGAGATGCTGGATCGTCGTGACGAGATGCACTGGGCAATGCGTCTCCAGTCATCCACCGATAAGCCAGCACTGTGAACGCAGCGAGGGTGGTGGGGGGATCACACAAATGTTGTAAAACTTCCTTCCCGTGAGTGTCGAAGAGGAGCCATCGGCCGGCTGGCCAGGGGAAGGCGGTACATGAAGTCCGGATTCATCCCCACCCGTCCCATCTGTATGGGGTAGAGCGTTGCCCCCTCGTACGTGTGGCTATTTATCCGGGTACTCGGCTTTCCTCCCGCGTGTATAAACACTCATGCATTGGATAATCTATACAATAATATAGGATTATTTATGCATATATGCAGTGAGGGAAAAAAGTATTTGATCCTCTGCTGATTTTGTACGTTTGCCCACTGGCAAAGAAATGATCAGTCTATAATTTTAATGGTAGGTTTATTTGAACAGTGAGAGACAGAATAACAACAAAATCCAGAAAAACGCATGTCAAAAATGTTATAAATTGATTTGCATTTTAATGAGGGAAATAAGTATTTGACCCCCTCTCAATCAGAAAGATTGCTGGCTCCCAAGTGTCTTTTATACAGGTAACGAGCTGAGATTAGGAGCACACTCTTTAAGAGAGTGCTCCTAATCTCAGCTTGTTACCTGTATAAAAGACACCTGTCCACAGAAGCAATCAATCAATCAGATTCCACACTCTCCACCATGGCCAAGACCAAAGAGCTCTCCAAGGATGTCAGGGACAAGATTGTAGACCTACACAAGGCTGGAATGGGCTACAAGACCATTGCCAAAGCAGCTTGGTGAGAAGGTGACAACAGTTGGTGCGATTATTCGCAAATGGAAGAAACACAAAAGAACTGTCAATCTCCCTCGGCCTGGGGCTCCATGTAAGATCTCACCTCGTGGAGTTGCAATGATCATGAGAACGGTGAGGAATCAGCCCAGGACTACATGGTAGGATCTTGTCAATGATCTCAAGGCAGCTGGGACCATAGTCACCAAGAAAACAATTGGTAACACACTACGCCGTGAAGGACTGAAATCCTGCAGCACCCGCAAGGTCCCCCTGCTCAAAAAAGCACATATACATGCCCGTCTGAAGTTTGCCAATGAACATCTGAATGATTCAGAGGACAACTGGGTGAAAGTGTTGTGGTCAGATAAGACCAAAATGGAGCTCTTTGGCATCAACTCAACTTGCCGTGTTTGGAGGACGAGGAGGAGGAATGCTGCCTATGACCCCAAGAACACCATCCCCACCGTCAAACATGGAGGTGGAAACATGCTTTGGGGGTGTTTTTCTGCTAAGGGGACAGGACAACTTCACCGCATCAAAGGGACGATGGACGGGGCCATGTACCGTCAAATCTTGGGTGAGAACTTACTTCCCTCAGCCAGGGCATTGGAAATGGGTCGTGGATGGGTATTTCAGCATGACAATGACCCAAAACACACGGCCAAGGCAACAAAGGAGTGGCTCAAGAAGAAGCACATTAAGGCCCTGGAGTGGCCTAGTCAGTCTCCAGACCTTAATCCCATAGAAAATATGTGGAGGGAGCTGAAGGTTCGAGTTGCCAAACGTCAGCCTCGAAACCTTAATGACTTGGAGAAAATCTGCAAAGGGGAGTGGGACAAAATCCCTCCTGAGATGTGTGCAAACCTGGTGGCCAACTACAAGAAACGTCGACCTCTGTGATTGCCAGCAAGGTTTTGCCACCAAGTACTAAGTCATGTTTTGCAGAGGGGTCAAATACTTATTTCCCTCATTAAAATGCAAATCAATTTATAACATTTTTGACATGCGTTTTGCTGGATTTTTGTTGTTGTTATTCTGTCTCTCACTATTCAAATAAACCTACCATTAAAATTATAGACTGATCATTTCTTTGTCAGTGGGCAAACGTATAAAATCAGCAGGGGATCAAATACTTTTGTCCCTCACTGTATGTATATCGTACTCTCGTGGTGTAGTGCCTTACGCCGGTGATGAACCCTCACTCGAAGCAGGCCAGCGAGTCCTCAGCGGCGTTGCGGGGAAATATCGAGAGCGGGAAATGAGCGGACATGCGCACAGGCATCGCCCAGTAGCGCTGTGCAGTTGTGCTCAAGCATCACGGGCTGCGAGGCAAGATGAGCCTTTCGAAATATGCCAGCGACTTCCTACGCATACACGGCATTCCTGAGAATCGGCCACGGCAATTTCCACCACCACCCCCCCCCCCCCCTTCGCAATTACTGTGAAAATTAATATTAAATTACGTTGCCGCTCGGCAAGAGCAGGTTTGCTGCACACATCACCATAATTGCCTGTCTTGGATGTTCTCCCCAATTTTTCGGATTGGCTTGCCGCAGGGCCAGCGCAGTTTTACCGTTTGTGTAAATCAAGCGCCGGAGCCATCTCCGCCAAGCTTCACTGTCTGCAGTAAAGCGTGCCGCTTCGTGTACACGCACAGCAAAGACAAAGATCCCCCGTGTAGACTTTTCACAGGCTGCTGGGGCAAGTGCTATTCGCGAGCACCTATGAAATCCGGCACGGCACACGAGAGGGGCGGGTAGCCAACATCGCGCCCGGCCGCCTTTGTCTCCCCAGTGGCGATGTTTTTTTACAAACAGCACCAGGTACTCAGTTGAGGCTGAGTCGACCTAGGGGAGGAAGCCCAGGGTCGGTTCAGATAATCGTCACTGGTGTTGGCCGTGAGCGGGAATCGAACTCGGGTCGCCGGGTTCGTAGCGCAGCGTGCTAACTGCTACAATACCGCTCCCCTCATACACACACTTACACACACACGCACACACACACAAACACACACACATACACACATATACACGCACACACAAACACACATACACACACACAAACACACGCACACACACACACACAAACGCACACACACACGCACACACACACACGCACACACACACAAACGCACACACACACACACAAACGCACACACACACGCACACACGCACACACACACAAACACACATACACACACAAACACACACACACAAACACACACACACGCACACACACACATACACGCACACACAAACACACGCACACACACACACACGTACGCGCCGCGTTTACGCACACACACATACACACACACAAACGCACACACACAAACGCACACACACACGCACACACACACACACAAACACACACACACGCACACACACACAAACACACACACAAAGACACACACACAAACACACACACGCACACACACACAAACACACAAACACACACACACAAACACACACGCACACACAAACACACACACACACAAACGCACACACACAAACACACGCACACACACACACACGCACACACACAAACGCACACACACACACACACTTGTACACGCCGCGTTTACGCACACAAAAATTGCCCGTGTGGCTTACATGGGCTGCCGTCGGGGTAAATGCCGTCAGCGAGCACCTGTGAAGGCCGGGCTGAAGGTGGAAACACGGCCGGCGTGGTTGTCTTCCACCCGTCCCCCGTGCTGAAATATACACAACGCACCAGGGATTCGTGGAAGGCTAGGTGGGTCGAGCGGGGAGACGCATCAGGACAGGTTCAGATATATTGGTTGGTGATGTTGGCCGTGGCCGGGACTCTCACTCGGGTGGCTGGGTTTGGGAATGCAGTGTGCTCACCACCGCGCCGCGCACACACACCGCTGAAAGTTAATGAAAGCCAAGCCACCAGCCATGCCACATGGCACAATGATAGCTGTTTAGTGCAATTACCATCCATTTGAAAGAATGTATATTCCAAGCTTGGTAATGTCCCGAATCGTGGTAATTTAATGATTGTGTGTGGGGAGGAGGGGGGGACGGGGGTCATCACACTTACTTTAATTTTATTTAAAGACCCCGTACTTTTGGGTAGCAACTCCCGAACGTTACCTCGCCCCGCTCCTGACGTCAGCAGCCGCGGCTCCCCCATACACCTCGAGGACAGGGCAAGGGTGCAGCGCTGCAAACTGCTTGCTCAGGACACTGCGAGTGGAAAGGGGGCCTCCACATCGAAGGGAGCTCGGGATAATCCCCGCCACTCTTCCACGCTGGCCCAGACGCCTTGAACAGAAACAAATTGGGGGCACCCACACTTTACGTCTCCGCAGGCGACCTGACTGGGTGCCCTTGCGTGGACAGAACGAACTTCTTATAACTTAACCTGCCGCTGGGTAGACAGAGGGGGGAGGATTTTAAGAAACTCGCCCCCGCATTGATTCCAACAGCCGCGCCGAGAGGTCGAATCGGACCGGCGACCTCAGGATTGCAAACGTCAGTGTGCTGACCGTTACACCACAGCCACTCGTCTAGGGTCGAGAGGGGTGGAGTGGGGGGCTACTCTCAAGGACCCCCCACTTGCGTCAGCAGTGGCGTGAGCGAGCAATTGCAGGGCTGCGCCTTTCTCCGAAATTAATCGAACAATTAGCGCGCACGAATGAACTTAACGGGGCCAAACAACAACAACAACAACAACACCGCTCGCTCGACTTTTGCTTTACGTGAACAAAATGTACAACAGCACAAAAAAACTAAAAAAAATGTTCAATCATCGTACAAACAGAAGGAAAGAACCCCCCCCCCCACCTCACACACAAAATAAAACCCCACAAGGCAGCAGGGAGCAAAGCAGAGTGCTGTGAATTTTCTGGAAAGCTGGTGACAAGCCGATAAGGGCACAAGCCCAGCATGGGGCCTCTCAAACCCAGCTCCAAATATCTCCCCCGCAAACCCTACCCCCCCCCCCCCGGCTCTCACTGCAAGTGCGAGTAATTTTCGTGTGCGGAAAACAGGGAGCGGGTTTTTTTTTGTATATCCCGCACCTCCCCCCCCCCCCACCGTGGGTTCGTCTCGCCGTGGCTGTGACCATCGAGTCCTCCGTGGTCCCAGCGCCAATTCCGTGCGGCTCCATTCCACCTGCTTTTATTTTTACGGTTTCTCCTCCACCCGCACACCCCCCACCCCACCACCCACTCCACAACACCCCCCACCACCCACCCACCATCCATCCACCCACTCCACAACACCCCCCACCACCCACCCACCATCCATCCACCCACTCCACAACACCCCCTACCTGCAACCCTCCCCCACTGCTATTACATTGATATATTTAGCTTATTTTTGACATTTCAGTTGCTCTTATTTTCATTTAGAAGCCAGTGATTTCGATTTAAAGCTTTCGTGACTGCAGGGATTCATCTTCTTGGTTCTTTTGGCAAAGTCACGTAGAAGGGAAATAATAAAATAATAAAAATTTAACATAATAAAATAAAATTCTCACGACGTTTCGGCCACAACACAAGTAGCCTTCCTCAGGTGAAGAAACAGAACTGCCGGGAAGACAGCGCTCCAATGAACACTGCTAAGCTTGGCAGCGTCTTTGAAGCTGGGTGGGAGGAGCAGAGCGCCTTGACAAAGGAGTTCACATATCAACAGAAGAATTTAGCATTGAAGTAGCTGTGTTAATGTGAGAGATTAGCAGGATGTTAAAGTCAGAAATTGGCATGTAACTGGGAGATTAGCATGATGTTAGTGTGAGGAATTGAGCATGTAACTGGTCACGGAAGTAGCTATGTTAAAGTCAGAGTTTACATATTAACAGAGGCATTTAGTATATTGACGCTAAATAACTGCAACTACCCAACTATCATACAATAAACCGATGTGAAAGAACTAAATATAAACGACATCAATATAATCAATGTACTCAATATATTCTCCAATAAGCTGAGCTATTAACATAAAGTAACTGGGTATACACTACACTATATAATGAATACCACTGGTGTCGCACTTGCCCCAACGGCGAAATCGTAACGCGTCTCTCGCGAAAGAGAAACGCCGCCAACGGCCTGGCAAAGCAACGACGTGGACGAGGAACCGAGGACACCGGTAGAGTGGACCTGAACTCTTCTTGGATAAGTTTCAGGTAAATTGTGTTCAATAACGATGTTTAGTTTTACCTGCAGCGTCATAGTCCTCGTGTCCGGCAATCGCCTGGCAGGGACCACGGCCAACACTGGGACGGCGGCAGCGAGGGCGGCTTAGCCGGCGCTACCAACACTTGCCCAAGATCTGCGGTCATTTATATATGGGGATGTTTCCAGACAATTAATTAGCGGTTTGTAGAAGTGAAAGGAAACCGGAGCACACTGAATACACCCACACGTGAATGCGCCCGAGGGGGGAGAGCAACACCATATCCCGTACAGAAAGAACGCGATGATACTAGTCCGCACTCCGCTGTACTGCCTTCTCCTGTCGAGCCTGGTTTACGGCACCTCGATGTTGCGATCCGCCAACCCTCGATTGCAGGCCACGTGCACAGCCGCCACCGCCTGGCATTGTTTAACCACAGTGAGAACTCAAGAAGCCAGGATAGTGTTATTTGCAAGACTGAGTAAATGAGTGAGTAGGTGAGTGGGCGAAGGGGTGAGTGAGTGATGGTGTGTGGGTAAGTGGTTGAGTGAGATGGTGAGCGAGTAGACATCTGTGAAAAAGAGCTTAATAGCTCATGGGATTTCTCCAGCGTCAGCACATCTGATTGTGATTCTTAGTGAATGACTGAGTGTGTGAATGTGTGGGTGAATGAATGGGTGAGTGAAAGGGTGAGTGAGATGGTTGGGTTAGTGGGTAAATGATTGAGTGATATGATGATGAGTAACTTGGTTAAAGTTTTTCTTTAATCAAGTGAGGATAGTAGTCTCATTTTCAAGAGTGCCCTGGATCAACAAAATAATAAAATTGACGCAAATAATATAAAGTTACTACAATTAAGTAAATAGAAGTCAGGGCACGCGAGAGACACAAAAATACTGCGCAAATATAAATAAGCATTCAGTCATAAAATTCCATCCATAATAGACGGTTTTTTGGGTTAGATCGCGTAAATATATAAATGTGTCGTTAAAACCCGCCACCACCCGACACAGCCAACTAGTGAGGGTTGTCACGTGAACAGAACGTGGCCAATTCGTCACTAGTACAGCAACACCGGTGTGTTGGTTAGCCAAGCCACAACATTTACCATCTGAGTACGACGTTTCGCCAGTAATTACAGCTAGCTTCATCAGGCGACAGTCAGGTTTGTGGAGAAGTCCTCCTGTTTCGTTCCTTATATAGAGGAGGCGTAGATGTGGTGACCACGCTTCTGCGCTCTTGTGGCACGTGGGGGGGGGGGGGGATTACTGAGGCAACGTACATTATGTCCTTCCTGTCTATTATGTTTATTAAAATAGCCGTACCAACGGTAATCCCTATTGAAGTACGCTGCCCTTTGTAGACATACATTTAAGCAATGTATTATTTGATGATTCGCTTCCACGCAACACTAAGGCTGTAGCTATCCGAAAGGTTAAAGTTATTTTTATTTATTTCAATTTCGATACATTCTATTATTAGTCTTGGCCAGTAGTAGCTAGTTTTGCATAGAACTTCAACATTATCAAAATCAATTGAGTGTCCTTGTTGGCACTCGTGTTCTGCTACTGCTGACAGTTGTATTTGGGAGAATTTAATGTTTCTCTGATGTTATTTTAGTCACGTACTGATCATTCGTCCTATTTGCCCAATATAGCATTTACCACACGTGCAGTTAATCCTGTACACACCTTCTGTTGATAGCTTCGGTAATACATCTTTTGTACCAGATATTAATTTCTGTATTTTATGTACCGTGACAAATCTGGCTCGGATGTTTTGCTTTTCAAAACATCTGGCTAGTTTATCAGTTACGCCCGCAATGTGTGGTATTTTGATCGTTTTAATTACTTGGGCAGTTTCAATGCTCGTGTTATTTGATTTGGGTTTGGCATTCAATGCCCTCTTGATTTGTGCATCATTGTAACCGTTCATTTGCAGCGCTTATTTAACATGTTGAATTTCACTTCCTCAGACTGTCACCATCTGACACTTTCTCAGATCGATGAATGAGCGTCTTGATAAGAGCAGATTTCTGTGCGGGGTGATGGTGTGACTCTGCATTCAGATAGGCGTCAGTATGCGTTTTCTTTCGGTAAACACTGTGTGCTATTTTACCATTTCTACCCCATCCGAGCAGATTATCCAGAAATGGTAGAGTTCTGTCAGCTTCCACTTCCATGGTGAATTTAATGGATGGGTTTTGCGAGTTGAGATGATTTAGAAATGCGTTCAGTGTATCTTTGCCGTGTGGCCAGACCACCAATGTGTCATCCACATATCTAAACCAAGCAGAGGGTTTTAGTGTGCTTGAAGCTATTGCTTTTGTTTAAAAATCTTCCACGTACAAATTCGCTATCATAGGAGACAAAGGAGAGCCAATTGCTGCTCCTTCCTTTTGTTTATAGAAGTCACCTTGCCACAAGAAGTAGGTGTTCTTTAGACAGTGTTCAGCTAGTCTTGGGATATCTTTGGCTATCTTTGGCTAAACCTTTGTTCATTACCAGAGTGTCGAGTAATTAAATTAACTCGTTGACCGGAACCCTCGTGAACAGAGAGGTCACATCAAAACTTACGAGAATATCATTAGGGTTAAGATTTATATATATATTTGATTATATTTACGAGATGTTCAGAGTTTTTGATGAACGAAGAGATCCTACCGATGTAGGGCCGTATTTGTTTCGTTATGTATTGTGATAATTTGTACGTGGCAGAGCCTCTTGTACTAACTATAGGTCTTAATGGAGCATCAGGTTTGTGAATTCCATGTCACGCAAGTCGGCTCAGTCATATTATTCTCAGACCTATCTTTATAGCAATTACAAATTAAGTTTGAGAACTATTGAGCAGACAGAGGGTGACTACCGTACCGGGATGGAAACAGACGATGATATGCGACTCAAGCGGAACTTGCAGGTGAAGTTATCGTAAAATAATCGAGAGCTTGGTATCATAACTGTGATTGGGACGTGACCAGGATGACTGCTGACCGACTGCAGGGGATGGCGATGGAGGGAACACGGTGAGAGGTTTCTGTGGAAAAGGAAAGCACGCGATCTGAGTTAGATGTTGTCAGACATCATCACTGGAAGGGTCGGAGGCTCTCTCAGTGCGATAGACGCGGAGCTGCGGGCAAAGAGGGGGGTGGTGGTCACGGCAAGTGAAGGGAATGGTCGTGCCCAAGAAGACGAGGATATTTGTTTAATTTGCATCTTTTTTCCCGTTCATATTCTGTCGTGAGGTTGTTGTTTTTGTTGTTGTTGATGCACAGTTGTGATAGTTTGCATCATCTGTTCGGTTTTCCTGCGGTTTGTCATTACGCTGTTCTGTCGTGCAAGCAATGCAATCAGAATCTGTCTTATTTTTACTTGCAGATTTGATGAAGTCCCTACCATTCCATTGAGTACAATGTACTCATAGGTGGGAAAGAACCAGCCCTGCAATTGCTTGCCCACCGCTTGCGGAAGGGCCTAACTTCAGTGAGCCCCCCCCCACCTCTGTGGTAGTGTACTTTGGTCTCCACTTCCACGCTGGCCACAAGTCTCGGAAGAGGCGGGTGGTGTACCCACACTTAACCCACCGCCACCGTACCCATAGAGTAGCTGCCACACCGCTGGGTGGACAGCAGAAGCGCGGCAACGTCAGGAAGTTGCCCCACCGTTTCAACTGCCGCTCCGGGAGATTGAGTGTCCCCCCCCCCCCCCGCCCACCCACCCAATCCCCCCACCTCCATAATTCGTGGAGTGGGCCTGCTGTAGGTTCTCCGGTTTCCTCCCACTAGGAGGCTAACCTCTCGTAAGTGGAATTGGCCCAAAAAAATTCCACAGTGTAGCAGGGACCCTCCTGAGAAACCCCCCCCCCCCCCTAGAATCTGGAGGCTTTCCTGGGTGAATAATGTGCATTAGAATAATAATGCCAATCTGTGCTATTCTATCACGGGATTACATTCCTGTACATTTATGAGGTTAACATTCCAAAGTTGAAGATTGCTTGAATTAAAACGGCGATCGCCGGCAAAACCATTGCAGGCATTTGCGTTTGATTTGGGGTATAGCCTCTCTGTGTTTAGACGAGGAATCCAATCTGCGCGACTGCTACTTGCGTTATTGACATAATGCCGGGCTTGTTTTGAATCAGCCACAATCTGTATTTAGGCTGCAGGAGGAATCCGATGAGCTACAGTGAGGGAAAAAAAAAGTATTTGATCCCCTGCTGATTTTATACGTTTGCCCACTGACAAAGAAATGATCAGTCTATAATTTCAATGGTAGGTTTATTTGAACAGTGAGAGACAGAATAACAACAAAAAAATCCAGAAAAACGCATGTCAAAAATGTTATAAATTGATTTGCATTTTAATGAGGGAAATAAGTATTTGACCCCTCTGCAAAACATGACTTAGTACTTGGTGGCAAAACTCTTGTTGGCAATCACAGAGGTCAGACGTTTCTTGTAGTTGGCCACCAGGTTTGCACACATCTCAGGAGGGATTTTGTCCCACTCCTCTTTGCAGATCTTCTCCAAGTCATTAAGGTTTCGAGGCTGACGTTTGGCAACTCGAACCTTCAGCTCCCTCCACAGATTTTCTATGGGATTAAGGTCTGGAGACTGGCTAGGCCACTCCAGGACCTTAATGTGCTTCTTCTTGAGCCACTCCTTTGTTGCCTTGGTTTATCAAATCCTTCCAATAATTGCGAAGTCAGAATCCATCTTCTCGGTTGAAATTGTCTCTGTGTTTGTATATGTGGATAGCCTCATGAACGAATCTCTCATGGTAGCCAGATGGCTTGCAAAGAACCTCTGTCTTGGAGAAGTCAATGTCATGTGAACCTACTGAATTAGAACAGTGATCTTCCACGGCCGAGGTGTTGGTTCTACCGTGTTTCAGGTCTGCTTTGTGTTCACGAATGCGGTCCGAGACATGTCGTTTGGTTTCTCCAATGTTACTCTGCGCCCAACCATATGGAAGAGGTACGTGGATGACACTTTAGTCATCTGGCCACATGGCCGGCCTGCTCTAGACCAATTCTTCGACCACATCAATTCCATACACCCAGCCATCAGATTTACCATGGAAGTCGAAAACGATGGCAAGCTACCTTTTTTGGATGTCCTGATAAAAAAGAGACATGATGGTTCAATGAGCCACTCTGTCTACAGGAAAGCTACCCATATGGATGCTTACCTGAAACCGGATTCCCACCATCATCCATCCCAAAAGAATTCCCTCATCAAGACTCTGCACCATAGAGCCCAATGCATATCCGACCAGGAACACATCGCCAGTGAACTCAAGCACGTACACCAAGCTCTTAAGGCTAATGGTTATTCCGACTACACAATCTGCAAAGCTATCACTCCACCCATGAAGAAGGACCCTCTTTAGGAGCCTTTCAAAGCCATCACTTTACCCTACATTGCGGGGATCACAAAAAAGATCTCCAAAATCTTGAATAAACACAAGATCGAGGTCCGATTCAACACATTACATAAAATCCGTGATCTGGTTCCGTCTGTAAAAGATGTGATTCCGGACATACAGTACCCTGGCGTCTACAAACTAAGTTACCTCTGTGGTAGTCGTTACATTGGAGAAACCAAACAACATGTCTCGGACCGCATTCGTGAACACAAAGCAGACCTGAAACACGGTAGGACCAACACCTCGGCCGTGGCAGATCACTGTTATAATTCAGTAGGTTCACATGACATTGACTTCTCCAAGACAGAGGTTCTTTGCAAGCCATCTGGCTAACATGAGAGATTCGTTCATGAGGCTATCCACATATACAAACAGAGACAATTTCAACCGAGAAGATGGATTCTGGCTTAGCAATCATTGGAAGGATTTGATAAACCATTTCGGGTCTTAATTGATTGATCACGCTTAAGGTGGCTTTCAG